GTCAGTTCCTCTACAGCATATACAAAAACGACAAAAATCGAACCTCTCCTCCCTCCCGCTTTGCCCTCCTCCGTATCTACTCTCCAGGAGAGGTAAAGGCAATCGCAGTAGCACGTTTCAAAGGCAACCACCTACTTGTAAAGTCATCAATGTTGCTTTTTTTCTCAAAAAACTCGCGGTTTTAACTTTCTGACATACCAATTTATATATCAATTAACCATCGAAACGAACTGATCCGCCGTCCGGGCTCTTGCACGACAGCAGCGGCCCCTTATCATCGTGCTAAGCCCACCAACACGTTGAAAACCTTTGCAGAATTAATGAACAAAATAATGTACATTCAAAATAAGAAAATCCTACACGTTCTCGGTCTGTTTTAGACGTATCGAATGAGCGCAGTTCGGCGTAGCATTCACTTATGTAGGAAGAGGCTGCTTCGGTTAACTTGGGCTTCACAGAGCGTGCCATGTGAATATATTTTCGCACAAATTTCACCGACAACAATTGATCGCTAAAATTTTGATTCAAAAATTTGCCGTTTAGATAATTAAACAAAAATATATTTTTGCATATTCGTTCATTCGTTTCGATGATAAATTGCTACTGGCATAGGTCTGGAAGTTAAACTTTCCATCAGTTTGCCTGTAAGCAACCCTCAAAAGAGGAAATCATTGACACCTTTGTTAAAAAGCGGTCACTGTTAGCATTTATCACCCTTTGGGGTACTTACTGAGTGCCCCCGCTTCCTAGAGAGACTGAACAAAAGGGAATTTTGATTTGTTTTATCATGACTTTTATGGTTGTGCATTAGAATCGTGTGCGTGCCTTACGCATGAGTATGTGTGTGTGCGCATGAGTGTGTGTGTGGGTAGCCAACACTTAGTTATAAATATATGTTTACAATTATATGCAAGAAACTAAGGTTATACAATGTAGAGCGGAACAGGGGAAATAAAAAACAGTGGCGAGGTTCCGGGGAGCGAGGCTCTCCAGAACGGGGTTTTGTGAAGAAAAACAGCGGCTCTGGATCCCAAAGATGAAGAGGAGTGCTTTTATACCTCGGTGGTCACAAATCACAAAAACTGCATAAATCTAACGGGGGCAGGGTGTTCAAAGATTGAGCCGGGGATCAGGGGTATTGCATCACAACGATGCAACGGCTTCTTACGCAATTTTTAACAAAAAGCAGTAAATCATTATGTGAAAGCCTCTTGCCTTTCAAAAACGGTAAATGCAAAGCCGTTTTCGCAGAAATGCAAATTCAACGGCTACAATATTTCAGTACAATTACCTGCAAACACGCCTCAGCTTTTGAAGGTCAGTTCTGATCAGTCTTAATCACAATGTTGGGATCAAAAAATCGTGTGGCGAAGAGAAAAAACTTGGAATTTCCGGATTTTTCTCCAAAATCAAAAAAATACACAATGCCAAAGACAAACCTTTCCTTGACGGCACACCAATCCTTGTTTTTCTCGCATACTTCAGTCATCGTAACTTCCTCGTCGGCATCGAAAGAGGTGAGTGATTCAACAGCAGTTCCCATTGGTAAAACGGCACCATCTGCTTCTCCGGGCGTGCGGTACTGGTGAAGTTTCAGGATGTGCTCAGCAACTTTGTTATCACGTTCCGCATCGTGCTACAAAAACAATTTACCGCCTTATTTCATAACTTTCGTCTTTCCGATGCTATTGTGATATTTGGAAAGTATACTGGGAAAAGAATTGTATTCAGCTGCCTTCGTACATAAAATCATGGTATTCTTGATTCATGCCCAAAACACGAAAAAAAGAAACGAAAATCCGCTTCTTGTCCTTTCCGCAATGAAAATTTAACAAAAAATAAAGGGTACTAAAAAAAACCTATTTTTCAAAAAAAAAAGCCTATTACGTTGATCAACGATTTGCAGTAAAGGGTCTTACCTCATCCATAAGTACAAAAATGAGGTCGAAACGTGACAGAAGCGAATCCTGCATGCCAATATTTTCCATCGGTGTTTTGAATAAATCATACTGCAAAAATTGAATTTTCATTTGCAAAAAGTTAATTCTCAAAAAATAATGTAAACATACACATGGATAACTATCGAAGAGGTGCCACACATACATCGAAAAAGCGGTAAATACTAAAATGACTCAGAGACTTGGCAAAACTGTGCCATTCACGCAGACATATCTTCGGTAACATTGTTTAAAGTTTAACTCCCCATACAGACCGCCATTGTGATCATCGGTAGCAAATGGCTCGATTTATCACAAATATGATGAAGTGACAACGAATGTCGATGACATACAGCTGCTCAAGTATGATATCGCTTACCCGACCGAATACTGGATTTGCGGCAGCAAGCACCGAACAGCGAGCATTGAGTTTAGCCTGAATTCCGGCCTTAGCAATCGTCACTCTTCCTTGCTCCATAACTTCGTGTATCGCTGTACGATCAATATCGGACATCTAGAACATATCGCTTTATTTTCTATAACCGTGAGGAAATTCCGGATAAAGAAGAAGTCCCCACCACCAATCTTTTTCATTATTTCAGTACAAATCACATAATTAATCTAAAAGCAAAATACATTCGGATTTGCTAGAACCAATTCGCTTCCCTTCAGACGGTATGCAACGCCCGCACCACTGAACGCTCTAGGAGAAGCTTCATAGCAAAGCAAAAATTATTTTAAAAAAAAAGGAAAAATAAAATCAGGGAAGGACGCGGGAACCAGCTACCACGCAACACCGGATGTTGAAACAAAACTGTCATGAATTCCAATCACACAATTTTTTATACGACAAGGGAGAACGCTCAAGCTCGAGACGGAACATTAGAAGTAGAGAAACTGGAGTAGGTGAAGAGAATCGGCAATTTTCATTCCATACGTTTTATCAGCCATTTGTTCCTTTAGCAACATTTGTTCCTTTAGCAATAATAAATTCATAATTTCTCTAATTTTCACTTCCCTTTTCAAGTTATCTTCAGGACTTTGCTCCTCTTTTTAAGCTGTGATCCTTCGTTTCACATGCCCCATCTCCGCCCACTATACACAGACGAAGTATTAAGCCGACTGTAGTAATTAAGTTGACCTTAGAAGCCTAGATGGCGAAGGATAAAAGTACAGTATGAGAAAAGAGAGCAACAGTGAGATAAGATGTTTCGGTCCATTAAGTCATACAATGGAACTGAAAATCCTGGCAACCCAAGAGAATCTGTTCGTCACCTTATCAAATTCATCAATGCAAACAATCCCACGATCTGCCAGAACCATTGCACCAGCTTCCAGGCGCCGTTCGCCAGTATCAATATCTGTTGTAACAGCTGCTGTCAAACCAACGCCACTTGAACCGCGTCCAGTTGTAGCAATCGCGCGTGGTGCTGTATGGAGCACGTATCTTCAAAAAATGCAGTAAATCTACTGAACTTTGGATTGTTAGCTACAATAGTGGAAAGCGTACCAGATGTGAATAAAACACATCATTGATGAGTTTCAAATATCAAGTGTTTCACTCGTCACTGTAGTTTAGAAGTGGCAACTGTTGTGAACGAAACCGTTTCTCAAAAATTGTTCTGGCCCAGGAGGGAGTCGAACCACTCCTCTTCACCTCTGGACGCAATGTGTTACCACTACACCACCAGTCTTTATGCTACATGTTCATCTTGACAGCACGTCTACTGTGTATCTGCCTTTCAAAGCAAAACACTTTTCATCCCCTCAATTTTTCTTTGTGGCGGTTTCTTAGCTGACTTTTCGCGAGTTTTCCGTAACAGCAACGACCACTAGCCATCCCAGAAAATTTGAACAAGCAAACAGAGAAACAAAAATGATCGATTAATGATAAATTATTTTGTTGAAAAATCCCAATAAATACTATACTTTACCTTAACAACTGACTTTTTGCAACCGATGGATCACCGATCAGAAGTATATTGATATCACCTCGAATATGTGAGCCATTTTGGAGTACTTTCTCATTTCCACCAAGTAACAGACACAGTATCGCTTTTTTCACCTCATCATGTCCACAGATTGATGGAGCCAACGATCGCGCCAAAAGATCGAAGATATTCTGAAATTAAATTCTTAAAAGAGGAAAAAACGAGGAGTGCTCATTTTAAGAAAAAACAATTATTCGACGGCACAATCAACATTCACTGCTGATTCCTGGCATTATGAAGTTATCATGGTTTTACCCTTTGCCGGCTCATTTTTCGGATATTTTTGATATCCGCTGGCAAAAAATTTGGTTGCATCTCCTTACTCAACAGCTGCACATTGTTCGAGATTATTATAGATCTGCAAATTATCCAATTCAGATTTTTCATGAAAAAGTCTGTGGAAATACAAAAAAAATTCGGTCAAAAATGATGCTTGTTACGAAAAACTGAGAAGCACAAAGAATCAATTTTTCCGAAAGATACTTTAGCTTCAAATTTAAAAAAAAGTAACCTAAAACTGCCACTGGAATAGCCGTTCTGCTTGTTCGGTAAACATCGGTACAGACCAATCACACGGACACGATCTCCAGGCTTGCAACTGTCCGCCAAATCATCGTCCGCCACAATATCCACCGTACGTGGAAGTTGCCCTGGCGGCGCATCTTCCGGCAATTCCTAAACAAAAAAAAATACCCACAAAATATCAACAATCCTTGCTCGTAGAGTACACAATCGTCGTCTAAGATAAGGTGATCGAGGACAAGACAAACATGGAGGATAACTCAAGGCGGCTAAAGCTTTGCTAAATGCTTTTTTGCTCGGAGCATCATTGACCTTGAAATCCTTTCAGGAGACGAAACACTAAATCGGATCGTTAGTAAGCTGACCATCAGGCAATGCAGCATTGGTCAAAGCAAATGGAAAAGTTGAATAGTTAGTGAACAGCGATATGAAGTACGAAATGATCCAAACATTTTAACTATTATTAATTGGTTACTTCGTTTTTTTTTCACCATCGTTTAGCCGAGTTTTTGATAATTTTCAGCCCTTCACTGAAATCAAAAAATGATCCTTTTTGTAGACTTTGATAAGCCGATTGTAGTATCCAGGTTGACCCTGGAAGCCTAAGCGGCAAGGCAGGATAAAGTACAGAAAGAAAGAATAATGTAAGAAGGCAAGAGTGAGATAAGACGTTTCGGTCCATTAAGTCATATACGTCTGATAAGTTTCATTAAATTAGCAGCAGCAACCATGTGAATAACACGGTTAAATTCTACTAGATTCCCTCCAAAAAGCGTTGCCTTAGTAAAAGAGTATGAAAGAATCGACAGTAGGTGAGCTAAAAAAAATCATTGAAACATGAGAAGTGCGCTGATGTTATACTGCTATTCTCAGCAGTAACAGTGTGAAAAAGGTTGAACCTGCATTGAAAACGTTTGATGATCGCGATATGTGCACAGGCCGTATTCCGTTTCCAATGGATTTTTATTTTCATCCTAAAAATGGAAAAATTAAAAAAATCATGAACTACTTAGATGGTACCTAATAATAACGGTAGAATTATCACCATAAATTATGACGTTATCAGTCAAAAATCAAAAATCCCTCCTATCCCCTTTTTTTGGGATGCGATGATTTATACAGGTAGTTCGACTGGCAGCATCTGCCAGAAGCAACCACTCGCCGGCAAGGCTGTCGATGATCCCGTGTTCAGAAGCAAGCTGTTGACGGCGCCACTAGTGATATTCCTATATGGAACAAAATGTTCAGTGACGATCACAACTAATAGAAAGGTATATTAACAAGGGATGAAATAAGAATCAAAAAGGAAAGTGGGGAATAAGAATCAGAAAATTTGTATAATTATTAATTACTATAATATTATTACGATTATTATAATTATTACAATATTAAGAAATGTTTCGGTCCATCTGACTGACTTTCACTGAACCACTCAATTATTATCTAGCATCCTCTTCTTGTTATCACTGAACACGTCTTAGGCTATAAAAGCAGAAATCAAACGAACTTCGGTTGGGTAAACATTGCTTGAGGGGAAAGCTTCATAAGATGTCAAATCGGTGTAACGTCGCTCGAATGTCTTCTTGGTCGCCGGACAATAGTGGACGCTGCGAATCACTTTTGGCCGCAATGCAGAGCCTAAATAAGCTGGGTTTTTCTTCTTTTTTTGGCAAAAATACTAAGTTTTCATTCAGAAAGATATGCCGGTAATAATTTCAGCTCAGTTCTCAATCCAGAGATTTTCTCACCAAAAAATTTACACGCAATATATGAGTTATGGGAAGATTACGGAGCAAGAATGGCACCAAAATAGCAGAGACAAAAAAATTTCAGAACATAAAATTTGAAATTCAATAAAAAAAAATCGCCTAAAAAAATTCTAAATGATCAGGAACGTTATTTTTGTTAAGCGAAACCACGCAACTTTAACATCTATGCTTGCAAAAGAAGAAATTATGAAAAAAAGGTAAACGCATGTGTAGGTGTATGCGTGTACGTAGGTATATACGCGTGTATGTAGCATGTGTGTTTTGCGTGCTTTTCTTTATTTATGCATGTATGCAACTGTATGTAGGCATGTGTATGCGTGCTGGTGTGCGTATGTGTACGTGCTCCTATACATAAGTGTGTGTATGTATGTGTGCATGTGTATGTATGTATGTGTGTGTATGTGTGTGTGGATGACGATCAGTACTGGTCGCAACCTACACAACTCTAGCCATTTTCAAAAAAAGGTATATATTTGTTCAGAAGCAAATAACCATTCACAAAAAACTGACATACATATCAGAACAGCAATGAAAAAGATCTCAAACGGGAAAAATTACGAACATTTAGTGACGATGCCCTCGCAGCAGACCATATTGCCCAGGAAATAGGATTTCAGCGTTCTGGGGTTGACGTGTCGATCACCAAAAGTCCCTTCGAACCCAACACTGACATCGCAACTTTTGCCATACTGAGGATCCAATCGGCTTACGTAATCCTTTGCAGCTTGTTGCAAACACAATATTTCAGGGACGAAATTCTTTAGTAAACTGAAAATGAACAAATCTTTTATACTGCTCCTCACCCTGAACCTACTCTCGGCTGAAATTTCATCTCCTGCTTCTTTTCTCCATTGATGCGTCTACCACGGAAAATCCGCGAAAAGCGGGCCAAGAAACCACCAAAAAGAAAAATAGAAGTGCGTTTTTCCTTGAAAGGCAGACACACAGCAGATGTGCTGTCAGACTGAACATAAAGCATAACGACCTATGGTGTAGTGGTAACACATTGCATTTGGAGGTGAACACGACTGGTTCGATTCCTCCCCGGTTCAGGATGTTTCTTGGAGAAAGGGCTCCGTTCATGACAGTTTCGAATACTTCTTTACATAATACCTGGAACTGCTGTAAAATCCTAGTCCAGTTATCTTTTGTGGAAATTTTCCGCGAATCTTATATCGATTTCCTTTTTTGCGTAGATCTAAATATTCTGACAGATCGTGTTCCAACCACAATTTTGCACATTTTGTAAAAAATTAAAGATTTTCGCAAAAATTTTTAAAACTTCTTGGATTTTATGAGACTTCCCTGAGGACACAGAGTAAACCTATATCAGTATAAAAATCGTGGAGCAGAATCAATGTTAATTCAAACGAACTATAATACCTAAAT